TCTGTCTGAGGAAAAACATGATCTTTTTTCATCGTGTCTGCAAACGCCGAGGACAGAGCAGAATCTGTTAGCGGTGCTGGATGTGCCCCACCTCTCCGTCTAGCTGTGCCCAGAGCCCACCACCGTGGAAGCAGCAGCTGCTGGTCCTTCACAGTGCTTCGTGGTGCCATTTATTAACCTTGCTACACCTCACTGAGCTTCACTGGGGCTCGCTTAGCTTGGCATTGCCCTCTGCTGTTGCCCTGATGTCTGATGGGCCAGGAGGAGATGGCAGAGGGCTGCTGGAAGGGCCAGGAGAGCCCTCCGGGGCTCCGAACCGGTGCCACCACCGAGCCACCTCGCTGGCACTGCCGAGGCAGCAGCAGAAGACGCAGTGACCAGCCTGATCCTCCCTTCCCCCACCTCCCGGTGCAGCATCCGTCAGTCCGCATGACCCTCCCCCTACCAAAATTGGCTGCTTTCTTCCTTCTTCTTCCCCCCCCCTCCCTTTTTTTGGCTGAGTGATGAGCTGTATGCCAAATCCATCTGCTCCTGTCTCCCCTAGCTGCCTTCCATATCATTACAGGATCCCTGGCAGCGAGCCTAGACCTATCTCTCTCCCTGCACTCTTAGGAGCACATTCCTTTCTACACCTTTTGCCGAGCTGGGATAGAAATGAGTATCAACCCCAAACAAAAAGCATCTGCTTTCTGCCTGCTTCTGCTTCACCGGACGCGCATGTACGCTACACCCGTGTCAGCAGCGAATGCAAAACACACACAACCCCCCACCTCGCCGCCCCGCATCCAACATGGGCTGACGAAACTTTGGGCGCCGGGAGCCTGCCTCACACCCTCTCCCTCTCCGTCTCCGCAGCACCAGCTGTGACCACCGCACCATTTGTTCCTCCAGCCCACGCCAGCACTCGGAGCCAGTTCTTTATCACCCCAATTAGCCTTGTCTGTGCTGATGAGAGGAGAGAGGCTTCCACTGCAAGGCAGAGACGGGGGGAAGAGAGCTGGCGCGCGGTGGGCACCGCGAGAGGCGATTCCCTTTACGGTGGCTTTGTTCCCCGGGAGGGATAGATTTCACCGGGTCAGGAGCACCGCTAAAAAGCCAGCGCTGTCATCCTGCCTGCATTACCTGGGTGATGCTGGTTTACAAACAGTTGCTTGAATAAGGTCAGGGGACACCATTTCTTGGTTTTTTCCCTTTTTTCTTCATGCACTTGGCTATCTGCTAGAGGGAAGAGGGCCATCCTCAGGCTGCGCCGGCTCCCAGGTATTGCGGCGGGCTGTGGCTAGCACCGGCCACATTTCTGGATGAGTTTGGAGATGCACCCTGGCCGTGTCCCCAGCGAGGATCTCCCTGCATCTATGGCAAAGCTTCCAATAGCCTCACGGCGGGGTGAAGCAATTCCCCTTCTCCCGCTGCCTCGTTATAGTGTCTCCCATGGTGGTATGTCAGGATACCAAGCGGTCAATGCTGCACTGATGCTCATGCAGCCATCAGTCTGAAAGCCTGGGTTTTTTTCCCCAAACCAGCCCCCTGTAGCACTCTCTGGGAGTGGTGCTTTTACACCGCGATTCCCTCAGTGCTGTTGTGAGCTTGCGTCCCTCCTGGACTTCTGTTCTCCTGGATTCGTTGTTGAAGGCCCTTTTCTGGTAGGCACCTCAGTGCTGTCATCCCAGAACCAGGAAGGGGATCCATCCTTCGCCCTGTCCTTCGCAGGACAGGTAGATCTACCTCATCGGGAGGAAGAGGATGGACACAATTCAAACCCAGTCCCATGGTGGGCACTCAGTTTGAAAGGACAAAGTCGCCCTGTGTGGGGTGGGGCAGGTCCCATCAAGTGTAGTCCCAACAGGGTTCAACCTGTTGCTCAGTGCACCCTCCATGGCAGGCCTTCCCTGTTGAAGGGGTTCCCAGCATGCCCATGACCAAGAAGGATCCTGCTGGGGGTCTTCTTTGCAGCTGAGTCACAAGAAACTTGACAAGAAACTGTGGTCTCCAGATCCATTTCACAATGCCATGTCCAGTGGAAGGTTGGCCATGCAGGTCCAGGATGCTGAACAGCTAGAGTAACAGTCTACACCAAAATAGGTGAAATTACACTTTCCAGCAAAAAACCCTGAGGGATTAAAAGACTGAACTGGTACACAATAAGGTTGTGTCTTAACGTTGTCTTAATACCTGTAGCCTACCACTCGAATGCTTCTCCCCATTCTTCTGTGTTTGATTTCCCAGTGAGAGGAGTAAGTTACTCCTAATGCATTTCTGAACGGCTTTGCCAGTGCTGTTGTGGAGTATGTCCCTCCTGTACTTGCCTCCTTGGTGCAGATGCATCTCTTGGAGCTCCTGTAGCTGAGGCTTTAGAGCAGTTTTTAATATCTGCTTTATTAAAGTCACCCAGAAGGGGATCTGCAGAGATTGCTCCAGTTCAACCAGTCACCCCCCCAGCAAATTTATTTCACATCTTCCCAGGCTTCAGAAAGGGTCTTAATTGAGCTCAGTAATACGCAGCTCCAAACCAATGCCTGTGACCGATTGTATCTTCTTTCAAGATCTGCAGAGGAGTCCCTGACCACGTGCCCGTCTTGCGTTAGGTGTTCATTCACTTGTCCTTCTGCTCAGACACCATAATCTGTCTCTGAACTATCACACCTCAATCCTGTCCCTCCTAAAGCTGTCCCATCTAACAGCCTTGTGTACAGCCTTGCCATGAATGAAGAGCTCAGCCACGCAGGGAAAGGAGGCTGTTTCCCTCCTAGACCCATGGGAAGGAAGCCGAAAGGACCTACAAGCAGTTATCTCATCTGTCTCTTTCCACCAAGACAAGCTCAATTCTGCTTAAACCATTCTTGATGGGTTTCATCTAATTTGTGCTAAAAACTTCCCACCACAGAGACACCACACCTTCCCCAAGCATTTGGTTGCAATACTTTGCTCCTTCCCACTAGGATACTCTTCCTGCTGTTCAGCTTGGATCTTACTCAATGCTTTTTGAGTTGTGTCCCAAGAGAGCGTGAACAAAACATTACTCCTTTCTTCTGTGCCGTAGCCTCTTGCACACGCAAATACCACTCTGCCTCCCTTGAACTTTTCTCTTCTAGACGCAGCACATCCAAGTCCTCCACGTTTCCCCATAGGTCTTGCTTTCAGACCATTAATCTGGGGTCCGCCAAGGCAGACGTGGCTTTTCTTGGAGCTCCCACCTCTCCATCCCCCGCTGGAAAGGAAGGGACTGTTGGTGGCTCTCCGTTAGCTTTCTGCGGAGACGTCCCAGGAGCAGGCTGGGTTTTGCTCTGTCCGAGCTGCCCCACGTCCCCAAGCCCTACCGACGCCAGCATGGACAGTCAGGGTCAGACCACCCAATTCCAGGTCATTTTAAAGCACTTCCCACCTTGATATTTTCATACCAGTGGGTGAAACCACCCAGCCCCGATACCTCAGAGCTTTTCTTTCCGTCTCTGGAAGAAAAATAAGAAAACAATAGGAAGAAAAGCTGTGTCAGAGCCAGGCAGATCAGAGTTAATCCTCCCTCAAAATGGATCCCGTCAGTGCCGGTGTACGTGAGAATCGCCTCTCCTGCACCTTTGCCGGGCACTCTCCCCGGCACAATGCTTCACTTTGTGTTTCAGCACAGAAAGAAATGGTGAAGTTGCTAATAATGGCACTAAAAGAAAATATGCTACATCTGTTATGGATAGCAGTACAAAATTAGCTGATCACACCTCTGACACCCAAGATGTCTTCACTTAAAATACTCGTTGGCTTACTTTACATAATTTGCTGATTATATTTAAAAGAAATACAATTTTGCAATTACTGTTCTTTCTGGTGTGCTATCTATGCATCATTTTCTTTTTATGTTTATATATTTCTCCTTCATTAGTGCAGTCTGAAGGGTGATTAGATCCCTTCAAACATTTTACAGAGGTTAAACGTTGATTAAGATTTAATTATTACTGTAAATAGCTTGGAATGACATATGGTGCAAAAACCTGACATATGTGCATTTGAATAAATGAAGTGCTATTTCCCATGATGCTTCAGTAGCTGTTTAACAGCTTTGCTGAAGGGTTATGTTGCACCTCATGTTAAGATTGCTTTGATGTTATATTTTGTTGGGTTTTTGCAGCTGAAAGCTAAGAACAGTTTTTCCAGTTTTTAAAAACATTGAATATTTTAAATACCTAAATTGTTTTGCACAAATTTTTGCTAATTTGTCTAACTAGGTTAAACATTTTCAAAAGCATTTCGATTTTAACGTGGGTTCCTAGCATTGTGTCAGCAACAGCGTCAATTCAATGTATAGGATTTCTAAAAGTCTAATCTTGCAAGGTGCCCTGTCCCGGTTGGGAGCGGGATCTTCGCTTGCCGCGGGAACCGGGAGCACCATGCATCCCTCCCAGGGATGCAAAGGTTCGGAGTGATTTCAGAGCAAGGGAAAGCTTTGTGCGAAGCCGGCAAAAGGAAAAAATTAGGAAAGGGCTGGAGATTTTATAGAGACAGAGAAAGGGGTAGATAAGATTTTAGCTGTGATCCATCCTCGTTGGAGGATACAGAGCCCTGGTCCAGGAGAGAAATGAGGGTGTGCTGTCCCCTCGTGTCACCAGGCAGCCCTTGGCTTTGCCGGGTCCCTACGGGTGCAAAGCGCAGCTTCGGGGACTCGATTCCTTCTAGCAGCATGCGCGGGGACCTTGGCTGCGGGAAAAGGAAGGGACCTCTCCAGGAAAATGATGAGTGGGATCCGTCTGATTCTCAGAGACGCTCTACAATTCATTGAATATTGCAAGGTAGCGAGCGTGCATCATTTCATGTAATATAAGTCAATCCAAACAGGGTTGTTTTGAGACTTGGGCAGAGTAAAGCACATTAAAATGACACGGAAAAGGCATGATTGACGTTGTATTATTTACATATTCTACTTCTCCACATTAATTTATTGATCTATCGAGCTCCTGCTGCAGCACAACAACGCGATACCGATTCTGATCTTGCCTCCTCTTTGATTTCAGATTGAGACATCTCGGCTGGAGCCAGAAATCGCAATGGCCACCACCAGTAAGACTGTAGTCTACAATAAAGGATTGTAAGTGGAAGTGGACAATCTCAGCCCAGAAGATTTGGGGAGGGAAAGGGGGAAACTTGAGATCCCGACTGGGAAAAAGAAAACAACAAGAGAAAACAAATAATAGAGCTCAGCGATAGTAACGTATTACCGCTCCCGGCGAACTGGGAGTAAATTAACACTTGCAGAGAACTGACGCCTCACACCAGTCAGAAAGATTAATATTAAAAGTTTTAAATTAGCAACAGGAGCAGCAACAAAAAAAGTACATTCAAACACTTTAGAGAACTAGCTAAAGAATAATCTCAGAACTTAATAGCACTGCATGGAGGGATGTTTAACGGCGTGTTTACGTGGTTATACCTAACTACATGAAAGTAGGCTTCACCGAGCAAATTTTGTTTTCAATGCGAATTAAATCTCCACACTAACGCTGCACAAAAATAATTCCGTAGAGATCAACAGGTGCATGAATGTGAAGCGCTTGGTAGGGTGTTTGATAAGTGTCCTGTATTGATTTCATGCCGATCCTGCCCCAGTGATCATGCGCGAAAGCAGCCTTCCATGGTTCGACGTGCAACGCTCCGTTGGCACAGCGAAGGTCATAGCCTGGGTGCCCTCCACCCCTCCCTCCTTCTTCTGCAGGTGGTCCTGGTGGCATCCTGCCATTCATTGCACTTGCAAGACTTTGTGTCACAGGAGACTACCGCTGGGCGTATCTGCAAGGGCTTTTGCCCAGGGTCCAAGATACTGGAAAGCCAACGTGCCCACACCTTGAATCGGAAGGGATCTTATAGCAAAAATACGATCGATCTGCTCTTTTCCTTTGCACAGACACGAAGGATGGGGTTTGTCCCACCTAATGTAGACCCTCGAAAAGTATGGTTGTTAATCTAAACTAATTGGCTAAGCTACACTTTGCTAAGCTAGTTGTCTGAGGACATAATATGCTTTAACATTTGGTCAGCCCTGAAGTGGTCAGACAGTTGGACTAGATGATCATTGTAGGTCCCTTCCAACTGGAACTCTTCTCCTCTTCCTTCTTTCTCTTCTTTTCTCTTCTCTCTCTTCTCTTCTCTTCTCTTCTCTTCTCTTCTCTTCTCTTCTCTTCTCTTCTCTTCTCTTCCTCTTCCTCTTCCATTCCCTTCCCTTCCCTTCTCTTTCTCCTCTCTTCTTCTTCTTCTTCTCCTCCTCCTCTTTCTTCTTCTTCTTCTTCTTCCTCTTCTTCTTCTTCTTCCTCTTCTTCTTCTTCTTCTTCTTCTCCTCCTCCTCCTCTTTCTTCTTCTTCTCCTCCTCCTCCTTCTTTTCCTTCTTCTTCTTCTTCTCCTCCTCCTCTTTCTTCTTCTTCTTCTTCTTCCTCTTCTTCTTCTTCTTCCTCTTCTTCTTCTTCTTCTTCTTCTTCTCCTCCTCCTCCTCTTTCTTCTTCTTCTCCTCCTCCTCCTTCTCTTCCTTCTTCTTCTTCTTCTTCTTCTCTTCTGTATTTTTGCCAATGCTTTCAGACAGCAAAACCAACACTGTCCAAAGCCTTGTGCCAGTGCAGAGGACACCCAAAGCAGAAAACGATGGACAAGACAGCTTTGCCTGGCAGCCGTGCCAAGCTGATGGCTTCGTGAGTCTGCAACCTCAGAGGGGTGAACTGCCCTCTGGAGATGGCTGGCTGTCTCTCTGTCTCTTCAACTACTCCACTTTGGGGTGCTTAAAGTGAGGTGGGGCAAGTCCCCCCAGCACTGCACCGAATCCTGCCCTCACATGGTTTTGGGGCCATAATTTGGCTTTCTGATATCTTGTGTCCAATGTAGACCCCGAGTGACTCCTGAGGACCAGAGGAGTTAATGCAGATTTTGAACATGGTCACCAGTAGAAGACCATGCCGACAGCAAGATCTGCCTCTGAGGATGGAGCCGTGGTGATGGACACAGCCGAACGCACAGGCTGTCATCCTTCAAATGCCAGTTTGTTGGGGGTTTTGGGGAGGGTGGGGGGAATAGGGGAAACCAAATCGCCACTGACGCAGAATGTATTCGAAGGATTTATTGCAATGCTTGAAATCGGGAGGCCTGAGCTCCGCCATGGGCTCCTCCGCCGTTGGCTGCTCTCGCTCCCCGCTGGAGTCACACCAGTAGGAACTGGAGTCACGCAACGGTCAGGCCGGCTCAGGAAGACTGATTCTGTCCCCGCGCTGGTGTAAATCAGAAATAATTGCACGAAACAAATCAATTTTATGGATTTACATGCCAGCATGCAGGGGAGGAGAGGCCGGCTCCGGGCTCTCCATAGCTGCTCTTGATGGGCCAGCTCCTGGTCCCTGACACTGGTGGAAACACAGAGTGGGTCCAGTTACACTCATGAGCTATTCTGGATTTACACCAGGGTAAAGGACAGCTGAATTTAACGCAGTAGAATTCCTCTAATGCACTAGATGAGATGAATGTATGCTCCGGAGGAAGCGAGGCCACCCCATCCACTCCGGGTGGGATTTGGAGAGGCTGCAGGCAGGGGGGATCTGTCCTGAGGGCATTTTCATGGGCATCTGTCCTACGGGCAGCACAGCGCAGAATCAGGCCCCGTATTTTGCCTTGGGGGCGAGTAACTCCCCGCAGCAGTGGAAGAGGGGGGCAGGGATGCTGGCAGTTCCCCAACAGCAGGCAGCCGACGGGAACCGCAGCGGCAAGGCTTCGGAGAGCCCTGGGACGAGCTGTGCGCCTGAAAAAGGGCCCTTTCCATTGCTGCAGGGTGTGGGAGGAGGTGAGGACCGTGGTCGGATGCTGGGGACGCAGGTACCCCCTTGCACACACATCCACGCGAGGGGAAAAAGCTACTCTGAGCCTAAAACTTCAGTTTACAGCTCCGCTGAGCCCACAGAAGTTGGGAGCCAAGCCGCATCGTGTTGCACAGAGGCACAACTTGCTGCCTTCCTCCTCCTGAATGGAAATGCAAGGCTGAGACAGAAGCAGCCTCTTGTGTTGACAGGGAGAAGCCTCCTGGCTCCGGCGTCTGTCTGGGTGGATCATTTCCCCTTCCCCAGTGGGTTTTGTCGCTGCCTGAACCATTCTGCTGCAAAGCTTGTTCATCCCAGGCTTTTTTTTTGGGGGAGGGGCAAGAAGCGATGGAGACTGCCCTTTGCCGCGAGGTTTCGGAGAGGTGGAGCAAGGAGGGAGACGGTGATTTGGTTTTGCATGGTGATCACCGATCAAAGATTTCGGTGGCTGTGAGCTCCGGCTACCTGCCGGGCCCGCAGATGGAGCGAGGAATTTGCAGCGCAGGAAAGGAGTCAGGGCTTTGCTTGCTGTATTCCTTTAGGAAAAGCATGGATCAAGCAAGTTCTGCCTTGGGAAAGAGCCAATTCCCAATTTTCTCCGTGATGGGAAGCGAGTACGGATGCTTTCCCTGCGCACAGATCACCTGCAGAGTTTCGGCTGCGTTAATTAGCAGGGGGTGCTCATCCCGTTAATCCAGCGATGCTCAGTAAGAACTGCGTTGGGTTGGAGAACAGACTTAGGGCTTATCAAGCCACGCGGTGCCTGTAAATCAGGAGGGTCTGATCCTGCTCGAGCGGGTGAGGACCAGCTTGAGGGATGTCAGAGGAGCCGCGCTGCGAGATTATGGCTCGGCTCAAAAGCAGCTGCGCAGTCGAACAAGTGACAATCAAACGGTCTAAATGAGTCTGGATTTATCGTCTTCCCGTACAAACCCCGTCAAACTTGTTTCGCTTTATGTGTCATGAAAATGGGTCTCAGTCATCTCAGCAGAGTTTGTGCTGAGAAATGAATACATCCCGGGGTTCTGAGTCAGGCGTTTGCCGGTGTTTATCTCCAAGAGCCGATCGCAGCCTTTGGCAGGTTGGCAACAACATTTGCTCTCAAATTTTGTTCAAGTGCAACTCCAAATGTTGTGCCCCCCCGCCCAAAGCACCGGGAAGCTGCTCCTGCTTGGAGCTGGGAAGGGAGAGCCACCACCTCACGGGGTTCAGCTCCCTTTTCTAACCTCTTCTGAAAGCGTCTGCGGGTCTTGCGTTGCGAGGTAGCGCCTGCAGCAGCGGTGCCCGAGAGGTTGGAGACCCGAGGACTTGACCCCACGTCTGTGTGTCCCCTTCCTCCAGGCAGTCAGGATGGCGCAGACCCGACTCTGCTGCTCTTCCCCTCTCTGTCCCCTGGCTCGGTGGCGAGCAGGACGAGGTACGTCTGTCAGGAGCACGTTTTGGTGGTCCCATGGTCCCAGACTCCTGAGGAACACCAAGATCGCAGCGTCCCCACGCTGGGACGCTGAAGCCAGCTGATGAGGTTCAGCTTTTAAGCCCCCACCATCCCAACGCAGGGGGTGTCGAGATGCATTTTTATTTAAAAGCAGCAGAAAGGCTCAGCAGACACAAACCTGACCCTTACGGATCTTAAAAGACCATTTCACTCGCAGGCAGCTCAAGGTTGGGCTCCTTCGTGCAGCGGTTCCAGCACCGGCTCAGCGTGGTTGCTGCCGTCCGTGGTGGAACCGCCGGCGAGCACCAAAATACCACGCTCAACTCTTCCTGCAGCATTAGGAATGAAAAGCATGGAGCTGGGAAAGCGGTAGCACATTAGTACTGTTTATTAGGACAGCAAATTGTGCCAGAAAAGACTACACACAACAGCTAATGATAACATTATGCACATTCACTTAATGGCTAATTAATCTCTTCGACTTTCCTAATGTACAAAAAGGAGCCTTCGGTTTGCGAGAACAACCCAACCATTTGCATTTCTTATTTCCTATAATTGGGGAAGTGGAAGAAATGGGGAGCGCAGAACCCACCACACACATCAAGTTGTTCACCTCAGCAGATAATAATAATGAGATGATCATCTCCTGTAGTATTTTAATTAGAAATGTCGCAGTTAATTGATTTCTTGGATATGTTAATTAAGAAATAATGAGGACCAGGTTGCAGCAAAAGGTGCCAGCGAGAAGTTTTGAGTCCCTCCTGGAAGACGTGTCTGTTGGCTGCTCCCCGAGCCGGCCAGGGGACAACCAGGGGGACAACCCTGGGGTTGTGTCACCCGTGTCCTGAACCCACCCTTAAGCTCGGGC